GGCCTAGGATTCGCCCCGCGGCGGGGAAATTCAGCTATGGACAACGCCAGCGGCACAACAGCCACCTGAGATAGCAACTCCGGGTTTTGTACACAATAAACTCTCTTCCGGGTGGCTTCCACTTTCACGCCCTTCGTGTTGTGTTCTTCCTTGGGGATTCCAAAAGGCGTAATTAAATTGTGACACCACAGTTTGTCACCGTTACAACACTCATTTTTTAGAATTTGTAGTTTTGACAGAGGGATGGGAGAAAAGCTCATTCCCCTAATAGCAATGCGCGCGTTATCGTAGTACGCAAACGCGAGCTACACGCGTGCTTGAATGTCATTGGTTGGGATAATTACGTAATCGATAGATTATTGGCCCATCGATTTTTGCATGCTCGTGTGCGCGCGCAAGCGACCTCTCGTTACTATGACTGTAAATCCGGTAAACCTGTTGATTTTTTGCTGTTTTCTTCAGCATTTGGAAGCCAATGTCTTAGGATTCAACTGCAGGAGTATTCCTGTAGCAATACTAATTACCTATTCTTTTCAAATCGAAAACACACATTTAAGTATTTTGGAAGAGGTCTCGTGAGGTAGCAAAGCTATAGCATAAACACGCAAAAGATGCAATTAAGAGTAAAAAAACTTTGGCACCCCAGACGGGCAACAAATGCAACAGTATTGCATTTGCGGAGGAGGAAGGCTGAGGAAAGAAAAGTAGGCAAGACAGACAGAAAACCAACAACTCGCTTACTTTGCATTGCGGTGTGACAACTGGTCGTCTCCCAGTTGCTTTCTAGATTAAGTGTCTTCTCGTAGTAGGCGTTTATTTGAACGTCATATATGGTGTTGGGCTCAAGCTCCTCCACCACATACGAGTACCCATCGTGGGCGGCAAAGAAGGCGACCTTGGCGCTTCGGGGCTCAAAGGACTGACGGCGCATGACGCCAGACTCGTCGGCAAACTCCTTCGAACCAGAAATTCGTAACTGAAAGAGAAGAGCAGAAGATGACGATGAGGAGGCGTAGGAATGTTGGCGGGTTTGGGCAGCCCTAGAGGCTGTACTTGGCACTATTTGCAACCTCTCGTAGTTCGGTTTAGTTCAGTTTATTTGAGGGACATATAGGTGTGTGTGTGTGTGTGTGTGTGT